GGCACCAGTGCTACCAACTGCACCACCTTGCAACCCTGATGTCAACATTCTCATGGAAATACAAGGATATATTTCCATGTTTTGCTGGCAGTATTACCTTCTATGAAGCATACCAAATTTAGGAAGCATGACCAAACAGGCAGTAAATATACCAGGCAGTCCAGCAAGTGTGACAGTTCAAATATTAAATATGAAAATTATGATCTCCTATTCTCTTGTTCTCTGTGTACAGTTTGCTGAACAGTAGCACTTTTGACCAGCAGCGACTACAGACAGAAACAAAAGATCTAGTTTTAAAGTGTAGACACGTGACAAAAATAATTTCAAGAGATGGACCCTTGAACCCTACAATGAGGGGATCCAGTGGCTCTGTTATGCTGTGGGGGCATTTTGCTGACATGGTTTTTGATCCACTATTTCCTTTGAATGGAGGAGTTGCTGAAACTCAATACAAAGATGTTCTGAGTGGTCATCTTTATCCTACGATTTTGATAGAGTACGAGGGGTCACTGAGATGACTGCTGAGTATGAATATGATCTAAATCATGTACTACAGCCTTCACAGTCACCAGAGCTCAAACCTGTTGAACATCCATGACAGAATTTAGATTTATGTGGTAGACAGCACTCAAAGGGTAAGTCTTTTGAAAGAATGGTATTTCATTACTCTAGTAGAGTTCAGAGACTTTTAGAATCAATTTCAAGCCGTATTGAAGGTGTTCTGGCAGCACCTGGTGACCCACTGCATTACTCACACTCAATCAAATATTTTTAAAAACGAGTTGTGTTTCAAACATATATTAAATGAAGCAAAGCCCATCACCCAGCCACACTCTGAACTCTGTATTACTTAAAAGGAGAACAGATTGGTCTGCAGTTTGTGCAGTTTGTTTTGGTTCTTAGCAGAAGGTCAAAAGTCAGGTTTTTGGCCAGTATAGTTCCATAATGAAGGGACCGTTCAGACAGAAGCAAAATAGCATTATCTTTTCCTTTAACAAAATTAATCAAACCCAACTGTGAGGATCAGACTTCTAACTATTTAAGCACTATTGCTTAAAAATACAACTGCAATGCTGTTCGTGGGAATACATGGTTTGCATAAGGATTTACAACATTCAACCTCACCTATGGGCTCTCTTTGCATGCTCTTTGAGTGAAAGCTGTTGGTCTTTCTCAGACACCTTTCTCTCCTCTTTCATCTTTATTTTATTTTGGTAAAGCACAATTTATTTTTCAATCAAACTTTCTCTCCTTCTTGTATCTGTCACTGTCAGACTGACAGATTTTGTAGCTTTCCTAAAAAAAACAAATAGTTTAGTAGTAATTTATTTATGTCAAACTACACACACACACACACACACACACACACACACACACACACAGACATATATATATATATAAGATATTGGCAAAGATATATGCATTGCATATACAATGTATAAGCATTACTGAGAATAGACTAGTTGGACAGAGTATTTGACTTTGACACACAAGCAAGCATTACTCAGGGGGAGGAGGAAATAGCTGATTTGTTGGGGACATTTTACAGTTGTGCATTAATACACATTTGTGCGTTTGGTATATACGGTTGTAAAGAGTCATGTGTTTATAATAGTAACATATCCAAGCTTTCTCTTGAAAATTCTACCTACAGATACACTTAGACACTAGAAACCAATAGGAATTTAGCTTGTTCGGTGAAGAAAGCCGTGATCACCGCCCATTTCATTCCTAATGCTCCTCCCTTTCTGTTTCTGAGTAGTAAAACAGTTTCATGTTTCTCTGCAAATCTCCTTATTTACCAGTTATGAGTGAGGCGCAGGCCAGACCCTGGTGGATAATGTGCACTTTTCTGTTTGTTGACAGGCAGGTTTCTCAGTGAGAGACTTCTTTCTAAAGGTGGAGTTTTTCTAGCTTCAACCTGCTACATTTAGCTTGTCTGCCCCATTAGACAGTGACCTTCATACTAATGCCAACCATGTCAGCCAGCGCCAACGCATCTAATTCAATCTCCACTCTGCAGAGATCACAGAGACATTAAGTGCCTGTATGAATTGAAGCATTTATAGACATACAAATACTGCTTAAAATTGCTTCTTTTGAATGTGAGGAACTTCATGAGCTCTCATGAATCTGAAGCTCTTATGAAAAATTCTGTATTTTAATTCATGACTTTCCACAGGTGACTGTCTTTAAGTTGGACCACTTTCTCGACCTAAACTTTTTTTGTTAATGCTACTTTTCCACATGGGAGAGCCATCTGCTTTCCACAGCATTTATGAAATACATTCTAATGTATTCCTGTGAAGTGACCCTGAATCTGACTTCTCTTCCACACAAGTAATCCAATTTCCTAACCATACCTGTCTGCAGTAAAACTCTCCAAAAGCCAAGACATTTCAGAAGACCCAGCAAGTTGGAGTCATGGCTACAGAGTTGTCACTGTGGTTCAGTCTCTGGCTGCTTCCAGCTGATCTGTATCAAGCTTTATCTTTGATGGGCCACAGCAAAATTCAGTTATGTGGTTTATATTATCAGTGGTTGTCAGCATGTCAGCCTCTGTCTTTCACTCTTCCCCTGCTCCGATGCCTAACCCTACTCAGCTGGTTAAACATCTTTTTAATCATATAAAGCAAAGCTTCCCAAGTTATTTTGTGAACTCACTGGATCAGTTTCCATAAAGCTTTTTGTTACCATGAGAGCTGATCAGATTTATTACAACAGCTGTGGCATTCTTACTCTGAACTGTTTATTTTCTTGTGACTGAATCTCGAAATGGAAATCCAGTTCAGTTATTCATCACTCTTAAATGAGGTGAATCATTTGCAAGATGCTATTTTAAAGAATGGCTACTACAAATAAATGGTCAAACCACATCACAGAGACTTGATGATGGGATTACGGCATTAATAGCAGGCTCTTTAATGCTATTCCTCAGAGTCAAAACCGCTCTATGATAACAGGAAACCCACTTGTAAAATAAAATGCATTTGGCAGAGTAAAAGAATCATAGCCTGGCAGCAGAAAAGCAAAGTGTAGGATGTATTGAAACGAATGCTATGCAACCTTTTTTCATATTGGGTTTTGCTCTGGAAATGAAGAGCTTCCCTGCATCCCCAAGCTTTCACCTAGCTCACCCATGCTGGCAGGACATTTTGAAATTTGAGGATAACATTGAGCGTTTGTTTTAGCACTCAGTCAGGGACTGTGCATTTAAAAAAATAGCCACACAACATTAGTTTGTCTAAACTGCTGACCTGCCACAAGTAAAAATGTTATGATTACAAATGAATGAAAAATGAATGAAACAAGTCGGTTATTAAAGCACCACAATTCTATACATGAACATCAGACCACAACGCAGCTTGTGTGTGTGTGTGTGTGTGTGTGTGTGTGTGTGTGTGTGTGTGTGTG